GGGTTTGCATGGCTTTTCAGAAGCAGCAGAAACTTTGAAGATGATAATAAATAACCCTTTCTTGTGAAACTTATGTTACTTGACATTTTCTGATCTTCACAGTAACTTACAAAGTTAAGTTGTTATCACATTTTACAAATGATGGATGGATCCAGGGCTCAGAAAAGATAAATAGCTTATCCTAGATCACACAGCTAGTAGATTGTGAATCAATAGTTCAATCTTGTTCTATCTGCAAAGACTGTATACTACCAGCCACACCAGACTAGATCAAAGTCAGCTTTCTTGAAATTGCCTTTAAGAGGTGGTTGTAAGTAGGTGGTGCTCTGGCCTTGCATGATTTTGTTTGTTTGTTTTCTATGTTGTATTTACTTATCCTTAGGAACCCTGGATGGTGAGTTACTGGGTTTAATTACAGATGTGACTAATAAGAATATGTTGCTTCTGTGATGTACATCCGAGAGTACATCTTCTAGCTGAAGTTTTTGGTACAATTTTCTTGTACTTTACATTTTAATAATGTATATGGCTTTGTGCCTAATGTATTTGTAATTATTGGCATAGGGGTTCCATTTATAACTTGTTACTGTTTAACTCATCCCTCCCAGCACATTTTCTAACCTTTTAATTTTACAGTCTATGCACTTTAAATTCTCTTGCTGGTGTTAGTGATGTCAGGTCTGGGATCTACTCTTAATATTGTCTGTAGGTTGTTGATCACCATCAGCCCTCATTATTTTAAATGAATACCCACCCACCTAATACTTTGTAACCACATGTTTCTAGAGCTTCTCTCAAGATAACATCTTGTGGCTTCTCCCCTTTTCTTTTTCTTTACTTTACTCTTACATGTTTTATATCTAAAACCTGGAAAATGAGGGAAAACACCTATAAAAAAAGAGACTCTCTGGGTTTGTGAAATTCAGAAGATCTGGAAATTAGTTGCTCCTGAACCTGAAACTTCCACTCTGTATTTGACATATGTTAGTTTGTAAATATGAAGTCCCACTAATTACATTTACAGCTTACAGAAAAACTACCTGCTATATCTTGTTAACTCTGAGGGAAAAAATTAGAGAACTATGTACGTGTATCTATTAAAAAAAAAAAAAGCAACCCAGAGCATAGTGTGGTGTAAATTCACTCTCCCCTTTCTCTGGTTACTTAACTAATCAGCTCTCTCCAGACCTTTTTCTGTTGAGACAATAAATCAATCCATTTTCCTGTCACTGTGATACTTATCCTGGATTCAGGTATGCCAAGTTTAGAGGAAACTATATGGAGTGTCTCATTTTATAAAGCAATTAATTGTGGTTGCTCTTTTTTCTCCTTTCATTAGAAAGACAAAAATGAACTAAAATTGTGTGATGTTTTACAGAATTGCTGTTTACTTATCAGGTTATTATTGCCTTTCAATTGATTAGAAGTGTTGTTATAATCTTAAGAATTTTACTGGTTAAAGCTGAATGTATTTTCAGTTGGAGTGACTCAGTAGTTTTTTATAATGGCAAACTAGTAGTCTTTATATTCTGTTATATGGTAAACTTTGAAAAAACCCATCTTTTCCATAAAATGAACCTCAGATATCTCCATCAGGAAACGTGGGCTCATCCATGAAAACTACAAAATAAATGAATGACGGTGGTATAGAATGACAGGCTGAGAAGCCACACAACCAGTCACTTCAACTCCTTCATTGTGCACATGAACAAACTGAGGCCCAGGATTACGTAGCAGCTAAATAACAGTGCCTGGAATTGAAAATGCTTCTTCTATCTCCTACTTTGATGCTGTTTCTCCAGGGTCCTTGTGGTAGTTAAGATCCAGGGTCCTTGTGGTAGTTAAGATTGGGTGTCAGCTTGGCTGGGCCTGGTTGAATGGCTGGGCAGCTGGTGGCAGTTATTCCCCATGATGAGACTGGCAGTCAACTCCATGGTGGGATCTACTACAAGCAGCTGAGTAGCTGCTTTAGGGATGTGATCTGCTTCCCATTTATAAGAAGCAGCTTTGGAAATGGTTTGTAGCCTTTTGGCACGCTTGACCCCTGAATGTAGCCTAGTCATTGTTCAACAGCCTGCCATACCCTGCCAATCTTGGGACTTCATCTGGATTTGAATTAGTGGCCTGCCATGTTGTTTGGTAACATCAGGACTGTACCTTTGTACTTGTCAACCTTGGGTTTGTCAGCCTGAGCAGCTAACAGCTGTCTGAGTGAAAAAAAAGCCTCCAGCTTCAGTGGGCTGGGAGCAGGAGGCAGAGCTGAAGCCCAAGGTTAAGGGGCTTTCACCCAGCCCCTAGAGCCTGGCACTTTGAACTAGAACTTAAAGCCTCCAGAATTGTAAGAGAATAAATGCCTGTTTGTTCAAGCCATTCCTTTTGGGGTATATTCTTGTCAGAGCAGCACTAGATAACCAGAACAGTCCTGCTTAAGTGCTTATGAATAACAAAGAATTATCCCTCTCCCTAATAATCTGACTAAAGTAGCATTGGGGCAAGTGTTTAAAAATAACAATTCTTTGAAAACCAAATCAAACCCACCACTGAGCGAATTCTAATTCGTGATGACCCTATAGGACAGAGTAGAACTGCCCCATAGGGTTTCCAAGACTGTAAATCTTTGTGAAAGCAGACTATCTTATATTCCTCCTATGGAGCAGCTGATGGGTTTGAACCATTGACCTCTGGGTTAGCAACTGAATGCTTTAAACACTATACCACCATAGCGCCCATCATTCCTGAAGAAGTTATTAATATTGTTTCTTAAAAGTTATCTTTAATAGGATTTGAGTTATCTCAGTGATACAAAATTGTGGAATGTATATGAGTCTCTACCACCATAAGGATTCATCTCAAGAAAAGTTACATGCTCTAAGAAATAATGAACTTTGGTTCCTCAGTTGCTAAAGCTGAATATAGTTCTTCCTGGGCTTCGTTGTGTCAAGGTCTTGAGGCAGTATCCCTCCTGCTTTTTAACCTTGGTAGGATTTAAGGGTTTGCTTTAAATCTTTACTACCTTTGGAGAGAAGTAACAGGATTTAGTAGAAGGCTGAATAAGAGTGGCCATTTAAGACACAACTATTGCTTTCTCCTGTGCAGAGCAAAGAGGAGTGAAGAAAATCAAAGATACAATGAAATAATTAGTCCAGAGGACTGATGAACCATGTGAACCTCAGCCTCCATGACTCTTAGACCCAGAGATGGTGCCTCGCTACCCCTGCCTACTGCTCTGAATGGATTACATTAGAAAGTCCTGGATAGAGTGGGGAAAAATGTGGAACAAAACCCAAAATCATAGAAAAGACCAGGCTCACTGGTCAGATAGAGACTTGTAGAACCCCAGGACTGTCGCTCTTGGTCCCCTTTGGACCTGGAACCGAACTCACTTCCATAGCTCAATTTCCATTCAAACAATAGGTCTACAAGGTGAACAATAACTCCAGGAAGGTATACACTCCTGAGAACAATCAACCATTCCAGATCAAAATTAAGAAGGTAGGAAAGGTTAGGAGAGAAGATAGAATGTAAATAAGAAACACAGGGAGGAAGAGGTAGGGGTGATGTTACATTGAGGGGATGACAATCAATGATGCGAAACAGAATGTGTGTCAATTGCTGAGTGGAACACTGATTTGCTCTGTGAAATAACAATAAAAAGTTTGGAAAAAAAAAAAAAAGCTGAGTAATTGCAATCATGGGCTCTGGAGTTCACTCCCTGGCTGAATGGTCATGGGGAAGTTATTTTACTTCAGTAAGCCTCAGTTTCCTCATTTGTACAGTAAGGCGTTATGTGGAGTCTTAACATGTTAAGAGCATTCAGTACACATTGGCAGTGGCTGCTTGTTTGCTGCTGCTGTTGTTACTGTCCTTCACTAACTGAAATTTCCAAACCTTCTTTGAGAAGGACAAGTAAGGAGTCCAAACTCCATTCCTGAATCTTAATGGAAGGACAGAAAAGAACATTTCACTTGACAGAAATGATGAAAATGACAGCATTTTTGCTGTTAGGTGACTTTGGTGTACTTGGGTTTGTTTGTTTATTTCCTACCTCCTTATACCAGTGTATCAAATCTGGTAATAGGAATGTCACAAATGTGAATTTTTATGGTGATTTCCAGAGGGGAGAGAAGTGAAGACTCAACCACAGAATTCAGCACTAGAAAGGTGAAGGGACCCAAGTGAGACAGCTGCCCCAGTGCATGTTTGGGCTTTCTCTTTGCAAAGCAGTGTTAACTTGTCTTTCATGCGTTGGTATTAAGTGGAGTTCGGAAGGAGAAAGCCAATTCATAAGGCAGCTGCTAGGGAAGAAGGAAATGGTTAATAAAGTTTTGTAGCTGTTTGGACTAGTTAATTGTTGAGTTATATCATCAAGTACTATCCTTTCTGCTGACTCTGGAAGGGGAGGCTGGAGTTGCACCGCATGCCTGTCGTGTATGCACTTGTCTCTAGCCTGCATCTGTTCATGGGCTAAACATGACAATTCACTTAAAACTATTACCTGGAGAATTTTCATAAGTGTTATAGAAAACATGACAGTGATACACATAGCACATATTTTTACTGTCCTTGACAGTGGGGTCCAGAAGCTACACTTGCCTGCACATCTATTTATCAGGTCCTGAGGTATTGATTTTGTTGATTTCTATCAGGCACAGTGTTTGAGTACTGGAGCGCTGGGAAGCCACACTAGCCTACTCATTGCAGGTAATTTGGAACCATATTTTCAAAGATACTCACATGAGGAAAATCCAGGATCTGTAAAGAAGAATCATGTTGAATGTTTCTGAATAACAATATAATTTATAATAAAAAATTTAACTTTTTAAAAATTTTTCATCATTGCATTCTGAAGCCAGATTTGGAATATCCCTATGTATGCCTTCTATGCTCATTTCATTTTTGGCTTCTTTACCAATTTTCAGCACTCAATTACTTTTTCATTGAATTAAATGCTTTAAGTCTAATATCACTTAGTTAATGATCCTTTTAACTTTATGTTCCAGGGACATCAGTATGAACAACATTACTCAGTTGCCAGAAGATGCATTTAAGAATTTTCCTTTTCTAGAAGAGCTGTAAGTATTACTTTGAGAATTTATTTTTGCTGTTGTCTTTGGAAGCTCCTACAAGGCAGAGTGTGGTGTTTGTTGTATGTGGACATTCAGAAATATGCTTTGTGCAGAAGAAATTATGGTTTTTTTTTGGGGTGGGGGAGAGAGTGGATCTTGGTGTATTTTTTAAGCAGTGTAATTACTGAAGCTATTTTTGAAAGCCAGATCTAAAAAAAAAAAAAAAAAATGCTGCTTCCATAGGACTTTTCTGTTACAATATCTTAACTATGAATGCTGCAGTGACACAAGGTAATTACAGTGTTATCCTCAGATAACAAGGCTACTATGTAATTACCATTCTTGCCAAAGGAGTTGCTATATGGGTAACAGTGATACCAAAAAATACAAGGTGTTTCAGGGTTGAGATGCAGCAGACAATGTTTATAGTTAGCAGAAAGCTGAGTGTGGCTTGAGGGTACCCATTGGACATTTGTAAGTGACCCTCGGGGATAAGATGAAGACATAGAACATCATCCAGGTCCCTAAAAACACTCTTATCTTTAAGAATCCTTCAGAAACTTGTAGTTGCCTCTCCTATTTCCAATTTCTAGGAAGATGAGTGGGGCTAAGGAGAGGGGAGTAATGAATGACAAAAGAATTGTGAAGAGGCTCTGTCTTTGAAATAGGTCTGCTGCTGTTGTTGTTATGTGCCCTGGAGTCGACCAGACTCATAAGGACCCCTCCTTGGGTTTCCAAGACAGTATCACTACGGAAGTAGATTGCCCCATCTTCCTTCCGAGGAGTGGCTGGTGGGTTTGAACCGCCAGCCCTCTGGTTAGCAGTCCAGTGCCTTAGGCACTATGCTACCAGAGCTCCCACAGGTCTGATAGTTGGATTGTTTTGGGAAATTCATGGGTTTGGATAGACTAACAGTTTACATGTGGTAAAATTTTCCACATTATTTTAACCTCCATTCTGATTTGTTCTGCATACTTTTTAAAAATACCTAATGGATATTGTCACATTTAAGTTTTAAAGGAATTGGGAACTATCCCAATTGGAAATTGGGAGTATAATTGTATTTTAAATTCAGGTTTCTAAAAGCAAAATCAGACTTGAATCAAGTTAAATACAAATTTTTAAAGACCAAGCTAATGGATTATGTAATATGTAGAGGTAAGAAGTTGGGAGACAATTTGATACTAAGAACCTCAAAGCCCTGAAGGAATCTAAATTCATATTACAGATTGTGTCATATAGCTAGCTGTTAAGTATTAGATTCAAGTCCTGTGAATGCACCTATCTTAGCTCAGCCCCTCGCCCAGAATGGGGAACAGGATTTAAATATAGGACATACTCATTATACTACCTGCTTCTGATAGGATATTGAAATCACAGTTAAGGATTTAACAAAATTAAGGAGAGTATTTTACTTCC